TCCAAGGATGATATGTACAGCTACCCATAGAACCTCTCAATCTCACTCAAAATCTCAGGTGTCCCGGAAACGACGCTGCCACACTTGGTCTTCAGCTTCGACAGTTGGCTCTTTCTGGCAGACAGATCACTAGCAAAGACTTCTGAGTCCTGGTTCCGCTCGATCGCTTCTTTAATACGAGCCGTATTAAAGTTGCGTAAGTCCCACCGCATGCATTTGGAGATCTGTCTGTTCAATTGCCTGTATGCTGTCAAATCTACTGAAGACTGCAGCTTCATATCCCGTCTAACAGCCATGAGATCAAGAGTGTAATCGGAGATTTTTTGTGTTCTTCTGCGGCGGGTCTTGCAAAACTTAGCTCCGACCGCATGGACAGTTTCCACGAGCTTGTCATTCATATCGTCCACTGCATTGCAATCTTCTAGGCACTGAAAACTGTTTCGTAGCACGAACTGAAAGGTTTCGGGACTTTGGATTAGAGCACGAGGGGGACGGAGCGTTGACTTCATTAGACGTGACCTCTCCAACTCAACGGTTAGGTTCAGTGTGCCTCTCACCATTCGGTGTTCGCTACCGGTTTTCACCCTCGCGATCACTGAGACATCACTGAACAGTTGTCGTCTGGTCGTCATAATGAAGTCAATCTCATTTTTTGTCGAACCGTCGGGGCTCGACCAGGTCCACTTCCTGTGGGGCTGCTTCTGGACGAAAGAGTTCATCATAAAGAGTCCCTCTTTCACTTCACTGCTGGCCCCTTGGGTTCCGTTGCCCTATTCCGGAAATTCCCTACTTTCAGCTCACCGTTCTCTCTTGTGCCTAGTTTTGCGTTGTAGTCTGCCATTAACACCGTATAGTAGGTTTTGGAGGAATGCATGGCTCTAGAGATATCCTCATACATGTCCTCCATCTCCTCATCGGGGTGTTCCGAGGTTGGTGCGTAAACCTGTATGACCTTCAGCGAATACCGTTTGGTGATTCTGAGTATAAGGTACGCAACCCTCGTCGACACACTTCCAATCTTTACAACGTTGTTAACAAGAGACTTGTGGACACCTCCTTGAGATGGTCGCCCTACCGGTGATAGAACAAATTGCCGGATTCGATTACCGTGTCCTCCCCCTCTCTTCGGACTTCGTATAATCCTATGACATTCCAGCGCAACTTGTCTATCTCTTCTTCCAGCTCCACGATCTTCTCGTCAGTCCTCAGAGTGCGTGCGTTATTAGTTGCCAGGTCGAGTCGTCGTAGGTTGCAATAGAACCTCCACCGGAGATTCTTAGCACCTACTGCCCCGCCGTTACCATGGTTGCCACAGTAGCCAGGAATAGCGGATCCGCCGGGGACTGGGGGCCATCTCTTCGTTACTTTCATGGGGGGTATATTGCCATAGTTGCCACGCTTGGCGAGCGGGTTGGCAACCGCAGTTTTTTTATTGTTGTTTTGCTGTTATCAGAAAGATGCTGTTGCCCATCCTCTGCCTCAGTTTCCCTCTGTCGCCTTTTACGACACCCACGGGAAGATATAGGGTAGTAAGTGTTCTCCACTGCCACCCGTGCCACTACACGGGATTTTGAGTTATTACTTACAATTAATACTCCTAGGGACTAAGCTAGGCCAAACAATTCAAATCAAATATATACTTTTCGTGCCTTTTGTTCGGCGAACACAGCTGAAGCACCGTATAGTAGGTTTAATTTTTTTAATTAAACCGGCTGCATTCATAGCTGAAGACGATTTCAGTTTTACTAAATTCTTTACTTCTATAGACAATAGTGATAGCCTTTCTTGTCCCATAGAAGTCCTTGGAATTTTTGCTCACACACGTTTGGGGCCCCTGTAGCCCGGGGGCCCCGTATCATTGATACGGCTGATACGGCGGTAGCTACGCCCCTGGAGATATCCAATAATTATCTGGTAGAATGCATAAACAGAAACATTATTAATAAAACTGCATAGTTCATAATTACCAATATAGTCATTGACAAAATGCGCCATCTATTGGTAACCATGTGGTAACTACTGCAAGCCGCGTTGTACTAAGGAATACAGCGGCATCTAGCGTACACGATACACCCATTCGGAAACTGAAATCTATGGATTAAACACTAAAACCAGTGACTAAAGAGTAGCATATGTTATCTTTACCTTTAAAGAAAGATACCCATTTTTCACCTGACTATGTATAGAAATTAAATAAATCTTAAAATTCAGCTAATTGAATTGTTAATTAAATACGCATATCACAATGGTAAAAGAAACGCAAGAAAAAATATTTTTTAATACTTAATTTATGCTTATTCTACGCCAAGGGTAAACTTATTACCACCATATTTTGAACGCATCTCAAATACCCTTTTTCTAGGACGTTCAATTTCACATACTGCTACTTGACTTAATAATTGAACTCTTTGTTACTCTTTGAATAGTACAGATTAATTAAAAATAATATAATAATTAGATAAATTAATCGTGCAGAATATCATTGAGTGCGCACGAGTGAAACGGATTTTTTGACATTTGACAGTTCTACGATTAGCATCGGCGCAGTCCTTCGTTGTAGACATGGGCAATGTGTAACACTTAAAAGAAAAGATTGATATGTATCTTTTGATCACTTGGATATGTATCACTCTTTTATATTTTTATATCCTTATGTATCAGTAGATCAAGCTCGCTTTCACGACACGCATCGCATTACGTTGCGTTGCTCACTCAGCTTGGCTCGCTTCGCTCAACTTAATCCTACCAGTAAGAGTGATAGATAAGTACCTATAGAGCTGTTTGCATTTTGCTTGGTCGTAACATTGTGTATCTTTCTGATATATTTGGCTGTTTCTTTCTAGGTATCTATTTGTTATGATTAAAAAATTAAAGTTTTCCTATTTGTCAGACATGCAGGTTTCCTCACGATGTTTTCCTTCATCGCCGAGCACGTGGTAAATCAGCACTTAAAATTGCAATTAACAATTTCATTGGTGCCGGCGGGGATCGAACCCGGGTTGCTTGCGTACTGTGAAACTTACAGCGAGCGCTGTTATTGTTATGATTGATAAATATTAATAGGCACTTATTCGAGAAATTAACTTAAATTTTTAGTTAAAAATAATAATTAAATTAATGATTAACGTAAATAACGTAGGTACCTAAGGTAAGTAAGGTAAGGGTAGGTATTGTTTGTATTAATGTCTAGAAAATATATATTATATAGTTTTGGCTTCTTGAAAACATGCCTGCTGTGTTGGCTGTCTTATAGCTACGAGGGGTACTGTGGGGAAGGTTACCACAATTTCCAGCGGGTACATTTAGCATGTTCGCACAATAAAGGCATTTTGCTTTTTTTTTTGGTTCTACTTCCTCAAAATGATTCCACACTTCGCTTCATTTTCGTGAACCCATTTTTTTTTATTAATAAAACACTAACTGCGCAAAATTATTTAACTACTAACTGTACGTACAGAACAAAAAACACTTTAAATTATTTACACTGAATGTCTTATTTCCCTACATTTAAAATAAACAGTCACTAAGTGTACAAAACAACTTCAAAAATTTTTCTATTCGATGCAATTAACGCAAACAATATTACTCTCGTTCCCAAACCAGGATTAAGGTTGAACTAATGAAGCAAACTGATATATTTGTTTAATTTTGTAAATCACAAATCTTTTTTCTACTTTTTTATGGATATAAACGACTATTAATTTCGATTATAAAACTTTCTTAAAAACTATGGTTTTATAACTGAAATTAGTTTGCATTGTTTACTAATAAATTTATAACAAAGTACACATAGGTACAGTTCAAACCAGTATAATACTTAAATGTTAACATACCGCTTAATGACTTTAAAGCCCTATGCACCAGTCATAGAGTTATTAATTTACCTTTTTGTGCTAACGTATTACTGTTTATAATGGTCAAACAACTCACTCTCTCCGTCTTGCCAAAGCGCGACAGAACATTCTAAATAGTGACCTGCGAAAGAAACGTCTGTACTATGGACTTTCCGAAATCTTCCTGGAACGACCGGCCGTGCCGGCCGAGGTATAATAGAAAGCAGTGTGAGCAATGTGTGACACAGATGTTAGACAAAGTTAAAAGATGTCTTGAGTGAACAAGTTGTAAAGATATACTGATACAGTGATACAGTTAGATAGTTTCTTTCTTTCTTTCTTCTTTCATTCGGATGCGGATGGATATAAAGAGTGATTGTTGGAAACGGATTGATTCATATCTTTTGTATCTATCTCTCCTGAGTTACCCATCTCTACTTCGTTGTTGCCGAAAAGAATATAATCGAGTTTTGGCGGGAAATTGACCGGCGGCGGTTTGCTGCTCCTGTATTATTGTTTAAATAATGGTTTGAAGTGGACTTTGATATGTAAAAGTGTTGCGATTTTGTGTATTAAGTGTCTACGCATGTGAACTATTAGTGGAAACAGTGAAACAAGTGCTCTGATGGTGATGGATTCTCAAGATAAGCTGTTTGTTTGCATAGGCACCTTTAGATACCATCGCCAACTATCAGCTGTCTGCTGGATCAAGTTGCCGCCAAAATCTCCCAAGAACTGCACAATGTGACGCATCAACATATTGTGAAGCAGTATACTATGAAGGAGTGGGGAAATTACAATAAACCGAATAAAAATACTTAAGACTTGGCCTAAAGGTCTAGATACCAGGCCATAAACTCCAAAAAAAAAATGAAAGGTAAAGGTAACCGCTATTCTGGTTACGCGACCATAAAAGTAAATCATAAAAGCAGAAAAAGTTAAAAATGTGCAAAAAAATGAAAGAGCAAACCACTGACGCATTGCTTTGTATTAATTTAATACTCTAGAAACTGATAAAATTTTATTAAAATCAATTTCTCAATTAAATTACACTGTGTGACAAAAAAAAAATACCACAGTGTCAACTAGTGACATCTGGTGAGTAGAAAATTATTAGCCCTCACTTACGTTACGCGTTGCGTATTGCGTTGTCAATTGTCAATTTGTCATTTGACAAGACAAAAGACAATTGGCCATCACAAAACACCATCACCGTTAGTATTATCTTATTCCAAAAGTTTGTTAATTTGTTTTGTTGACACATCTAGTAAGTACAATTTTAGATAAAGAATTTCTTTACTTTGCTTAGTTTAATTTTCAATGTAATAACGTAGGCATTATGTGAAGATGCGTAAGTATAACCTTAAATATTTTTTTAACTTAATACAACATACTTTTTAAACATAATTTTTTAGTTTTTTATCCAAACGATTGATAATATTACCTGCTTTTTGTTAAATTGTTGCCATGATTCTATAAACCTATTACAAGTCACAGCTGATAGCATTTGTTAAGTAAAAAAATTATACAGTATCCTTAAGAGTAAAAGCGGGCCCAGAGACTTGAAAATTAGGTATTTGAACTCGCTTGGCGTCCCATAAGGACAACTGCAGATACGACTGAATAGTCGTAAGTAAACAAAGTATAATTCAAGGTTTGGCTCTCTACCATCTATACCATCGTCCTACAATATTGGACCAATTTAAAAGATATTTCATAAACTACTATAATAACATAGGGACACAGTTCATCCAGTTCATCCAGTTTATCCGACTTATTAAGACGTATAAACTGTGTCCCTATGTTTTTATTTTTTCAGTATTAGTTATCAAAATTGCCTCTGTTGTCAGTGGCCTAAATAGTCAATTTTGAGCATTTGGTAAGGGTCGTAGTGCTTATAAAGATAATTTATCATCAAAAAGGAAAACATAGGGACATAGAAGAGGTTGAAACAGAAACAGAAGCTTTTTTAGTCAATATAGATTAAAAAAGAACTCTTTTGTTTAATAACCACTGGTTTGAAAAAAATCCCCTGTCCTGGGAAGAACCAGCAAAATCCAGTGGGACTTTTTTTAAATAACAGCTTACAATCATGTAATCACAATTAACCACACAAAGCAAATTAGAAATAGCTTGGTAGCGATCACCCCATTCTCAGGGTTTATTATCATCCATGAAATTCCTTAATATTATAATAACTCTTTTTATACAAACTTTGTTTAATAAAGTTTTTGAACTTTGAGCAGGTTAAATATTTGTATATTTTCTGGGATTTTGTTGTAAAAGCGTATACATCACCCCAAGAATGAATTACTGACTTGGTGGAATCGAGTAACTGGTACTATTACCTTGTGTCTGTTCCTAGTATTTACAGAATGAATATCACTTATTTTTGTAAAACTACTTTTATTTTTGTGTATGTATATTACATTTTGATAAATGTATTGACAGGCCAAAATTAATATATTAATTTCCTTAAATTTTTGTTGGTTGTTATTTATGTTACTGTAAAAACCCATTGCTAAGGTTCATTAACCAAAAACAGGCAAGTGTTTGTATGAAAAATAGAGCACCCACATTTCGCCTTAATAACAAACCTCAATGTAACAATTTCCTTGATTTAACAGAAACATTTTTAGAAATCCCTTGTTGCATTCTTAACAATGTGTTTTACTTTTTTTTAAGTTAACTTACCTTGCTTAAACAAAGTTTAGACCAATCTAACCTCTATTTAACAAACCACATTGTAACAAGTTACTTGGTATAATAAATATTTTCTAATCCCCTTCAGATTTGTTACATCAAGGTTGTACTATACATACAGTTTGGAACACTATCATCCTGTTAAAGTTCAATACTGGACGTCCCATTCTAGAAAGTATTTTCCTTAATTGTCACCCCACTAGCAGACGTGGGGTGCAGCTATATTAGTAGTATGGTTGTAACACGAATGGGTCGGCTCCACCGGGGAAGGACCACGCTCTCACAGAATACCAGTGTAAAATAGCAGCTTAACACTGCTGTGTTTCGTATAGTGAGTGTAGAGAACCGGAGACCCTTTTTACTGGAAAATAGGTATTCCATCTTAGTCCTCACGGGTGACAACGTATCTGCATTTTGAAACTTTATTGAGGATAGATGTGGATGTCTATGGGTCACAGTAACCACTTACCATCAGGTGGACTGTGTGCTTGTTAGTCACCCTATCCTATAAAAAAAGTATCGCATTTTTGACACTGCTGGTCATTGCCGTTCAGTTTCGCAGTCAGGTGTGAATGAGATAGATATACATACCACTATCAATCAGAACCCATAAAAGTTTTCTGGCATTTCCTCTTGTAACACCTACTAGTTGAAATAGGGAGATAAATGAATGAATTGCTATACACCTATCACACTAGCTACATAGCATTATGGTAAAAATTTAGAATTGTGTCGCAGGAGTTTATTAAGAGAGTATAGACCACAGATGAAAAAATACTATATAAGTATAATAATGTGAGACTAGTCTTCAACATGGTCTTACATCCTTGTCGCACTTAACTAAATTATGTATGTTTTCCAGCTTTCACAGATATATTACATATGTTTTTCCATGTTTTACCCATTTATAGGTTATAATATTTTGTTTTTATTTTCTCGAAAACAGTCTACCTTTTAATGCGTGTGGTATTGTTATAATCGGGTGCCAAACCTTTACCAAATACAACACCTTACTCCTCCGAACTTGTGCCAAACAATTGTAAATCCAACCTAGTATTCATTTATCCAAGTATATATTGTATCTTTCTATGATTTCAGATTGTTGCCAATTATAAAAATGTAATAAAATACAGTGGTTATTACTCAGAAATTAACAAAACAGATGTAATAAGATAAGCATAAAACCATGAAGAAGGACGTTGGAAATCACCTTGGAAAACAAGTAGCAAAAAACAGTTACTATTGTCATTCTTGTGAGAAAACTATAATGTGCAAGCGTTTTAAGTTTAAACATCATTTATACATGCATGGAAAAATAAATGCACGTTTCACTTGTGAATTTTGTTTAAAGGAGTTCTACCTACGTGACGCTTACTTCCGCCACCTCATGGCACATAAAACGAAAAAGCGCGAAGAAACTAACGTGAAACAAGCACAAAAGTTACACTTTTGTGATGTTTGTGGCAAGAGTTATATAGAGAAACGTAACTTGATACAACATTTTAGAGTCCATGACAATACATTTAGACCTACACGTATCCGATATAGCTGCAAAGTTTGCGGCATAGAATTTTGTGAGAATCGGGTCCTATTAGGTCATATAAGGAAAACACATTTTAATTTACAAGTCAAGGAATCGCCTCATAAGAAAAAGCTACCTAATGAAACATGGGTAGAGAAAGTAATGCAGAGTGATGCCTATGTAGAAATGACAAAACTAACCGACAATGTTATTGTTATCAAAAAGTGCATACTGACAGAGACTGAAAAGAAAAAAATTAAAGATAATAGGATTGTAAAGACAATAGATTATGAATCATTTTACTCTGACAACAAATATCACAAGGCAAAAGATGTATGTAGATATTGCAAAAAGACAATGTTGAAAAAGAGTCTTGCAAATCATATCCGTGAAAGACATTTGAAAGTGAGAAGATATAAATGTGACACTTGTAATTCTAAATTTAACAGGCGGTATCAGTGGACTAATCATACATGTGGAAGATCCAGGAGAAAGCGTTAGCCTTATTATAATATACACGGTAATGTTATTTGCATGAAATATTTTGTGGTAAGGTTTTTTAAACATTTTATACTTTTGTTGAATACTTTGTGGTAAGGTATTTTAAACATATTTTACACTTTTGTTGATCTATTTTTACTAAAACTAATTTATTAACCATTTATGTAGAAAAATATACATGTACAGTAAACTAAAAAGCCAGAAAGTTACAGGGTAAGTAATACCATGCTTCAAGAAGGGTAAAGGTCGCTGCGGAAAACGGAACGTGGTTGCGTTGCTCCACACGGACGGGAGCTTAATGCATACGAAACATGACAGTGATTCGAAACTAACGTGAGTTGGTGGAGTGACTGTGCATACGCATTGGAACCACGTATGGGACGTGGCGCGCACGGGGCGGAACGGGTTACACATCGTCGCCGACAATATTTTTCTCGTCCCGTTCATTATACGTCCCCGTAACGTATGCATTTTTAACGTAAATTTTCTATGAAATGATATTTCCAAAATTTGACGTCCCGCTCCGTCCGGAATAAAACACGTTACGTATGCAGCGACTTTTAAAATATCCTCCTCCTAGTCTTAACATGAATAAAGATATTTTACAATAATAAAGTGTGACCATTACAACAGTAAAAATTCAAATATATTATTTAATATTTCTATCAAAATTAAAAGCTAATTTAATAAGATGGAAAGAGTGCATACAGTTCAAATTATATAATTTGCTTCTAGGTGTAGAATAACAAAATGATACTCACCAGTTCTAAATTGGTGACTTATTTGAAGAAAGACATTTGCATCACGTTAGATATGTTTTACAAGCCTGCCTAAGAGGGGGGAGACATGTTCAGCAGTGGATTCTTATAGGATGAATGGATAATAATTTAAGAAGTATCTATAGTATAGGTAAATTAATATTAAAGACATCACACATCAAATCACAGACATTTGGTTTATTACAAATTGATCACAAATTATTATAAATATGTGCAATACATACATAATACGACCAAAGAGTAAATAACACTATAAAGTGTGTTCCGATTTACACTGTGACCATTGTAAAGTGTGACGTCAATTCAGTATACTGTCAAGCCATTCCTTTTTAGTCTGCTATCCTGGTTACTGTTTAAAATGGAATGCAGCCCAGTATACTTACTGTCATCCCCATTTTTCGACACTGTTTCGGATTGCAGTCATGCGATCGCGCAGCCTCGGAAAAGTCGCAACGTCGCATTTTGAACCACAGCGCCCGATCGATACCGTCCGTCCGAATCACCAAAGTTCGCGTTCATTCATTCAATTCGAGTAATGATTTAACATAGAGATATACTTTTAAGTCAATGAATATACCTGATTTAAAAGCATTGATGATTTTGTCGTCGTCATTGCATGATGAAATGATTTTAAAATATCGATGATTTTAATATGTGACATGATATCGGACTCAGTGCTCACATTACAAAAATGCCGGCGATTTATGACGTCATATATTTCCCTAGACTGTGGCAGTATACTGGCAGTCCATAACGGAACAAATTTTTCGCTAGTGAGAGCAACTGAGCAGTGCTCGCAGTGTATATTGAAAAACACCCTTAGTGATTTATATATTTTTGACTATATTTTTTTTAGAATTAGAATAATATTTTTTTTTTGTTTAATAAAACAATGTGAGATATTAACTTTTTTAGTTATTGACTACTTGATATATGTAATGCATGAATGAGGAAAATTTAATTTTGCATGTTTATTTCTTTTTACCATAAGTGATTATGTAGTAAGAAAAAGCGAGAAGTTAAATTCACATATTGTTTACTATATTTGTCTAAGTTTATAGGTATACAAAAGCGGCAAAATAATATATTTACATGAAAAGTGCATCTATCAACATAAAATTTTACACTAAATTTTAAATTTGTTAGTGCATGTTGTGTTGCTGTACATATTCTAGAAGTAAAGGGATTATTTTTAAGTTCTTAATTTTGTTTTGTGCGTGCTTTTCACTGCAATTTGACATTGAATTAATTATAGCTTTATGAGTCAAGAATTGTGATACTTTAATTTTAAGATTAAAAAAAAAACTATATTAACATGTTGTTTGGTTTCATCTAATATTGGAAATGATAAAAGAATTTTATATGACAAAAACTAAATAAATAAATTTCTTTTGATGTTAATCCGTAATAATAAAAAAAATATATTATTGTTTAAAAAACGACACATGATGCATTCTTATAAAACCGAATTTTATATTTACATGTGAAAACGCATATTCAATTAAAAACTGACTGTCATATTTATGGAAGCCAATATACATGGTTATTTTGCAATAACCGGCCAAATTTGCAGAGAAGGTACAGAATAAGTAATGGCAAATGCTGAAGAAAAATTAATTTAAAAAATCTCAAACATTCTGTCCTTTTTATCATTTAAATTCAAAATGCGTGGTAATGTATTATGTCAAGTGATTGTCATACATAAATATCTAACGCCTACTATTTTCAACGTAACGGCGTCGCTCACGTTACCAGTCGCACGGTTACATTGTCCAATTCACTACAGTCCAAGTTTAATTTATTCTCATCATGGTAGGCAGTTCTCTCTATCACAAGGTGTACATGGCACTGTCCCCACCATATGGTAATTCGTAAGGGTCGATCGGTCGGCAAAAACGTTGTGAATTGAATCGCACGCAGAGGAGCGCGCGTACGCGTTGTTGTTGCCCATAAATAACATTACATTTGGGATAATTTCAAATAAAAGTAGAAGCCTTATTTACTCGTATTTTCAAAAACCGGAATAGCGGTTATATTTGAACTTAAATGTTAATCTTTGGCTATTCTTTGAAAAATAACCCTGTATGTATAGGCTGAAAGTTGATTTCTCTCTCAGTTTTCACTGAATTACAATAACCGCCTTTACACGACACGTGCTTTCACTCGTGTTTGGAGTGTGCGCGATTGAACGCGGGAAAGCTTGCACGCGCAATCGTGAGTGATTGTTTTTATCAATTTTTATGTGCGTTGACTTTTTCGCGCGTTATTACTTCTGTATTTTTGTTGAGACAGCAAAGAGCTTCGTGTAAAAGCTAATCGTGCGTGATTCAGTACGGGAAACTTACGTGACCTGGAGGTGGAGTGTATGAAAATCCACGCAGTTTTGTAAAAGTAGGTACTGAAGACTAGTGTTCTAAGAAATGGACGAAAGGGTTAGAAGGGATATTATACAAGCAGTTATGTTTGCTGGATAAGAGTATAATAGATTATTTATTAATTAATTTATTTTAAAATAATTTAGTTTTAATATAATATAGTATTAAATAAAATAAAACAAGCATGCCAACTTAAGCATGCATGAGAATTGTATATTACTAAGTATTTTGTAATAAGATGCTTGCTCCACAATCTAATGCCCGCCATTTTACGGCGATAATCGTTTTCACTAAACCGTGCGTGTAAACTGTTTGAAGCACTTGAACCTATGACTATGAGAGGATGCTCGAGCGGGCGGCGCGCGAGCGTTCTCGTTCCCCTTTTCTATCCTTATATGTGCGTTCTTTCACGCGCGAAAGCCGATTCACTCGTTAAAGAGCGTATGTGTAAAGGCGGCTAATAGAAAGAGTAGCTCTCTCTCTCTCTCTCTCTCTCTCTCTCTCTCTCTCTCTCTCTCTCTTTCTCTCTCCATTAAATCACAAAAGAGAGAATCAAGGATTTTAACTAAGGCTGTTAGGATAAGACTCATGGAGTGATATTTACCCGTGCCCGCAGCGTTAGCGGAACCGAAATACGCGTAGAATATAAGAAATAAAAGTATAAGGCTAAATTTCAGACGCGATTTAAGCCCTCGATGCGTTCCGTTGTTTGCGGCTGCCGTTGCAACGGTGGGCAACTAGTGTAGAATCACATCGATCAATCGCAAAAATACTTCCTTGCGACCGTCCGATTTGCGATCGTCTCCTGCTAAGTTTGCGGGCGTTATCGCCACCGCGACGGGAACAAATCGACTAAAAACTGCAGTCACTAGTTACTCACACTCACTAAACTCACAAGTTTAGAAATAGATATGAAATAACAGTTCCTCTACAGCCGCGGGTGCGGATAAATATCAGGCTTTGTGTTCTTAGGCTGAATAATAAAAGTGCCTTCCGTTAAATGTAAAAAAAAATATGTTATCGTTTATTTTACTTGTTAATGAGATGTAGTTTTGGAATAAAAATAAAATTGATTTTGTTGGAATACTGAATATTTGTAATATTCTATAGAAATAAAACTCATGCAAATATTTTGATAATTATATTTCTTTAAGTCATGGGCATTCCTCGGTTTATAATAGTTTGCGCGCACTGCGCTAGTGTCGCCATGTCTTCACATTTTCCCCACTTATTTTACCCACACCTCAGAGCAACAAATTAATAAAGACGGAGCGCTCACTAGCATTGTTTTATACTTGATACTGGAAAAAGTACAACTGTACCAGTCCATTACAAAAGAGAAAAAGATGTTTATGCGTTTAGTAGTGAATTTTACTAAGTGATAGAGAAATAAAGATATAAAATTCTTGTAAAGTTATATATCGTCAGTGATTTTTAGAAAAGGCGAATCCGCCAAGGAAAAAAAATCAAAGAGTTTATCAGATTTGATAATTGACATTTTTTTCTGTAGTTTTTTTTTTAAATTAATAATTTGTTCATTATAAAGTATTCTAGCATACAATAGTAGGGTGTGAAACTATTTTATAGAAAAACTTTTAATTAAGTAGAAAACGAATGAAATATTGATGTTCGCCCTTTAGATATATCAAAATATTAGTCCTGCGCTTGTGGGTTCACCCATGGTTACAAGGAAGGCCTATGTCAATATCAGGGTCTAGACCAGAGGTCCCCAAACTTTTTTTGTCTCACAGACCACTTGCCATGTTTTTAGGTTTTTGGTAGACCCCTGCTTAGCTAATATTGCATTTTTGAAAAATCATCAACTTCAAATGTGTTTTGACTGATATTTAACTATAGTGAGATGTAGAAGAAAAAAAAATACTGGCCAAGTGCGTGGCGGACCACGCACAATGTAGAGTAGAGTAGGGTTCCGTAGTTGCCCCTCACAATGAATGGGCTTTCTTGACAATGAGCATAATAAATGGGCCCAAATAGGAAGACCGTAACTGAAAGAAGTATTTTCAAATGAGACTTATAGAGAGTGATATTAAAAAAACGTTAGATTTTGAAAATAATACAATTTACATTAAATCATTCATATGCCAAGGTACAAAGATAATCTTAGTTGACTATCTATCTATATATTCGCAGCAGTGCAACCCTAAGATATAGATATATGACCGTAACGAACCTCCACGTAAACCACCACTGCCCTAAATTATCCTGAGGTCGCCCGCGTAAACAAGAGTGTGACGAATGAAACCGTGTGAGGCTATATCATTGTATGAATACTTTGAATGAGGCCTGCAATAACTACCAACTAAAAAATAAGTGAAAGTAGTAAGTAACTAAGAAAAATCCTCCCTGCCTATCCTGCAAATAAAAAAGTAAAGTTATATTAGAAATGCATATAAGTCGTGTTCTTAAAATGTTTATTTTTAACAGTTTACAATAACATTACCAAGTTACCATGTTTAGCCCAGTGGGCCGCGGCGGACCCCTTGTGACCGCCAGTACATCGGGTTCAGGTGGCCGCGTCGGATACCGCATCCCCTCGATCACTTCAGAAGCCTCTACGCGGCCGACTGTTTTTACTAAGGTTAGCATAAAAAATGCGAAGGGACTTAGAATTTTTGAGCGTTTCAAGAAGTTGTTTCCGAAAATGTTTTAAGTACATAAAGTAAGTATTTTGAATCGTTTAATTGACATTAATTTTACAGGTAGACATTAATATTTAGCCTAAGCCACTGTTAAGTCGTTTAAAATTATAATCATTTTCAATTAATTACGTATAAAATGAGTAATGGGTTCAGTATAGGTAATTTACATATGAAGCTACCTTTTCACAAAAAATTCTGAGGCTTACCTTCTGTTTCGGTTTACCTCTTCAACATAAGTCAATATAAAACGCTTAATTTTTTTTCTAGGAGAGGGGGCAAACGAGCATGCGCCTCACGGTAAGTGACTACCGCCGCCCATGAACAACAATGGATAGTTCACACAACTGAGCGAATAATCGCGCATTCAACGCGTTACTTTCAATTCGGTTTACTTCTTTAATGACAAATTGAAAAGTTTCATGCAAATCTACTAATCTACTCAGATTTTTGGCAACCTAATGTTGTCGATGGATAAAGAAGTGTAAGTTTAAATGGCTTACAAATCCACGGTAGCGCCCAACCAAGGCAGGTACTCCATCCGTTGCTACTGATATATTTCATATTTGATAAAGGTATCGCTTTTTGCTTAAAGTAATCGTTCAAAACAGTAAATATTGATTCGCCTTTAGTGTCAGCTGTCAAAGTTTTCGTGAAAAGTGGCTCTTCGTGTATTTCTTGATTCATAATAAAACGAACATACGAACGTTGACTCGTCCAGCTATTAAGAGAAATATGTCGCTTGCAAAAAAATACACAAGAAGCCTTCAATTTCATTACTCATCTCATCAAACGCCTTTGAACTGCGTTGTTGCTTAAAGAAATTCTTTTAATGATATCAGTTTGTGTAATACAATTTTTAAAACTTTTTCAAAGATTAGCAATATTAATTTTTTCTACTTTCAGAGACATAATCATTTCTCTTTAATATTTTGTCAGGCTGTCTTTTGTCGTATTTCAGCCATTTAATTTTAGGCCACGATAAAGGGGGCTCTTTTTTATGGCATTCTTAGATGCTTCTTCTTTCCAGTCCATAAAGTCCCCATGATTGTATTCATTGAAAATGTATGACGCAGGGGTTTTACTTGTTATCTTGCAAATAGTGATCCATTTAACCGGTGTATTTATAGTTATGTTTTAGTTCAGTTGCAAAGTGCATAGAGTCTCTTTCTTGCTACGAGTGTCCAGTTCATGACAGGCACATGATTGATTGTCTCAACATGTGGAAATGATGCAAAAAAAAAAAACTGATTTCTATTTTGCTCTCCATTGCTGTCATTTACGAAAAGAATTGTTTTTGGCTGATACTGTTTTCGATGTGTCTATAAACACAGGTAGCAATTTCTATTGACCCATGCTTTCCCTCAAATTCAGTCCAAATATTGCATACATCTAGATGTGTAATTAAGTCGTAAATTGTTAGGGTTTAGACAGCAAACTTCCTTATAAGATTACATGTCTTTCCTTTTTTTTTTTTTTTTTTTTTTTTTTTTATAGGATGAGGGTGACAAACGAGCACACAGTCCACCTGATGGTAAGTGGTTGCTGCGGCCCATAGACATCTACATCTATCCTCTGTTACAAATCAAAATGTAGATGCGTTGTCACCCGTGAGGACTAAGATGGAATGCCTCATTTCCAGTAAAAAGGGCCTCCGGCCACCTGCACTCACCAAGCGAAACGCAGAGGTAAACCTCTACTTCACGCTGGTTTTCTGTGAGGTCGTGGTACTACCCCGGTTCGAGCCGGCCCATCCGTGCGACAGCAAAAGCTGCCGCGTGGCTCTACCACTGTTAAAACAATTTTGGACCTTTTGGACATTCAAGAACAGCTTGCATACCAAAATTAATAATAGTAGTATATTCCGGATTTTCTTTGGATATAGCTACAGCATCCCTTTTTATTTCACGGGCTCTGTCCTTTTTTTTAGAAAAAATTGTTTTAAATGATTATTATAATTCTCATTTCTCTCTTTTTCTTTCGTTCGTAAGGCTTTCGTATAGTTGATAAGTATTGCAAGTATCTTAACGTGGATTATGGAAACTCATGTAACTATATAATTTTTTTTGTAAACAGAAATACTTATGGGTTCTTTATTACATTCTCGACATGAATCAGTATACATTTTGTAAAGCATATATGACGATGGGAATGCTATCAAAAATCGTTAAAAGATCGACCACAATCCAGGGTATAACTTCGGGATTGACTTTTGTAGCCAAAATTCTTGGTAGCCATTTTTGAATTTGATTTTTATTTCCACGTTCGTTGTCAGTTCTATAAGTTGTTCCAGTTGGGGTGATACTATTATGTTGACATTTGAAAAAGGATCTAACACCCAGTCTGGTATTTCCAATTTCAAAATGTCCTGGAATCTTTCAATGAAATCACTGTGGAGATTGTCTAAATGTTGATAGTAGACAACCACGTCGTTGTTGTTGCAAGATACTGATAAATTGGTAAAATTATGGAACTCACGTCTGCTGATATTCTTCTTGTGTAAGAGCAGCGTGGCTACGAAAGCAGGGACGACATGTTTTGTTTTTATTAAGTTCATGTCATCGCTTTGAAGTTGGAGATTCATATCATTAAGCAATTTATAAAGGTCTGTCAGATATGCGATATCATTCTTGGATGTGATGAGATTGTCGCGCAATTCTGTGTCTTTGTTTTCCAAGAACTACGTGACAGTCAAACAGATTCTAAAATCGAGTCAGACAATTTCCTTTTGGGTTGAAATATTCATCATTAGTAACACAAAGCTAATTAAATAATCTATCATTTAAAGAGTTGCTTTGGATTTTATTGACAGCTTTGATGACATGTTGCAATGATTGAAACAGTCGTTTACTTAAATTTGTAGCAACCAAATGTTGTCGATGTATAACGCAATGTACAGCAAGCACATCTGGAATTTTGTTTTTATGTACGCTGTGAAGTCTTTTGGCCACCCCGTCATAGCTGGAACACCATCTGTAGCAGCTGATATAATATGCAAGGGAATTCCTTTTTCATCACAAATTTTCATCACAAGACTTTTCCAGTGCTTTAAATATGATTTCTCCTTTTGTGTCTGTCTCTAAATTTCTATATAATAGTAATAGTTCTATATAATAATAATAGTTCTTGATATATTTTTTTTCATCTTTAATAAACCTCACGTAAGCCAGCAACAATGCTTTATTAATTGGTAAAGTGGACTCATCCAACTGAATTGAAAATTGACTAGTGTTCAGATGATTGCACAATGACTCTTCAATGTTTTCAGCCATTTCATCAATTCGTCTTTGCACAGAACTATTGCTCAAAGGAATTTTTCGAATTATGTCTGCCGCTGGTGTATAGAGCATTGTAGTTATAACTTCTTTCATTGCCGGCAAAATTAACGTTTCTCCGATGGTGGGTGGTTTATCTATTTGAGCAATTAACAAAGAGATATTATATGAAGCTAGAAGTCCGTCATCGTCTTGCTTAGCAGCCATCGAAAAAAAGTTTTGATACACTTGGCTGAGCATTATGATTTTTTTCCTGGTCTTGAAAATAGGTTATATTCTTGTCCTTCTTATATGGATGCATTTTATTCAAATGATTTTTAAGTCTTGAAGGCTTCATCGCTTCGTTTGATAATGTTTTTGAACAGAAAAGGCACAAATGCAAAGATAGTAAACAGGAAGAAGTTTAAAGATGGAATGCCTCATTTCCAGTAAAAAGTGTTTTACTGGAAATGAGGCATTCCATCTTAGTCCTCACGGGTGACAACGCATCTGCATTTTGATTCGCAAGCGAGGATAGATGTAGATGTCTATAAGCCGCAGCAACCACTTACAATCAGGTGGACTGTGCTCGTTTGTCACCCGTATCCTATATCAAAAAAAGATAGGTTTGTCGAATTTTCTATGAACCCATATTTAATATACCTAATCATAATATAACATCGCTTTCTCATTGGCACGACGTTTACTTCAGGTTGAATATCTCGAAGTGGTGGTACAAATCTTCTTATGGTCTGTCTCAACTCACGCAGCAAAATTCGTAATAGTTGCCCGCGATTGTAGTTGAGGACGACATAGTTCAAAAAATTTTTTTCAAAAAAAAAAAAATGCGTCCCATTTTGTTGTCATGATTTACAGTATCTCATATTATATGGGCGTTCACAGCTCCCACGTCGAGAAATGTAAAAAATAGCCTTCGTGGCCCTCTGTAACAAATGCGAGCGACAGAGTAAGTGCCGATCAGTTTATCTACCACATCGACACCCTTTGTTTTATTGTAAAACTTATCACTTCCGGGAGCTTTTTTGAGTAGAATCATCCACTGCGCCATAATTGTGCATTGTCGAGAGCAATAGTACAATTTTATCCTTTTTGGGGCAGTAAGAAAGTAATGTCTGTGTTTGTTTATAACCAAACACGCAGGAAAATTCTTCCAAGCATATTCGCTTGAAGTCATTTGGGATGTCCGGGTTGTTCTTTTTCACTGTGCCAACTACTGTCAAATTATAATCTGTAAGTAATTGTTCAGCTAGCGAAATGCTCGTAAACCAGTTATCCATCGTCGCATTTCGTCCACTTCCTGCAATTGGTTTTATCATCCTTTTGACAAGAGCAACAGTTGAAGTATCTAGATTATACGAACCTTCTAGCTGCTTCCCAACGTATATTTCTAACTTCTTTGTGTAGTATATTGTAGCATCCGCCAGAGAAAATAACTTTATACCATACTTTGCAGGTTTGTTAGGCATATATTGGCGAAATCGGCACGAGCCTCTGAAACTCTCTAACATTTCGTCTAAGGTAGCATTTTGTTTAATTGCGGGATGACATCACTGAGGATATCCCCAAGTTTCATCTTTGAAATTAATGACTCAGATAGGTAGTGAATATTACATTTGTCTATAGTTTGGATAAGCTGCGTCTGGAATAATTCAAAAGCCAAGTGCCTTGACTCCAATGCCATTTTGAGTCTCTGGTATGTTATCACTTTCTTGATCTCATGAAATGAGGAGTCAACTCTCTCTTTATAAGATCCAAGCTCATTAACAATATTGATTATAGTAGATTTGATTGGATTAAGATCAATTTGCATTTTCTTCACATCCGTTATAAGTTGCTCATTTAAATTTAGTTGAGTCTTTAGGATTTCCTTGAGTCCGTTCACATAATCGGTTAATGACTGGGATTGCACCTTTAAGTTTTCAATATCACTTAATGTAGCAACCCCTGTAAATTTTGAGTTAATTTCACCAATAAATGGAAGAAGTCCTTCATTGCGCCATGACCTCCTTATCCTCTTTGATCTCGTGAAGTTCTTCACCTGATCTTGATGATGACAGGAACAGTGGAAATATTCCATTCCCGATACTTTTAGTGCAGCCTATGTAATTTTGTCCAATGTCGGGTAGTCGTTATTTAAATATATTGAGTGAACTTTTCTCCTTATTGCACATTTGTCTAGTTGATCTAATTTATCGACCTTCGATAGTCGAGCTCTATTTTTCACGGGTGATTTTAATGTGTTAGTATCCTTTTATTCTTTAATAATTTTATAAACAGTATTTTCGGACACAGCACATGCACTTGCTGTTTTTATTACTGTGCTCTCCACAGTCGTATTTAAATCACACAGTTTAAAGTACTTATAAACATTGTAAATTACGCGTCTCCCTGCGCTATGGATTATTGATCCACTTTTATTCTTTCGAATAGGTGAGGTATTCATTTTCAAAATTTAATGTTGAACGAGTAACACGCAAAATACACAACCGTTTTGTTCGAAGTTAATTGGCTGCGGGGCGTGGCCAGGCCGGCGGACAACGATGACTCACTATTTTCTTAACGCGAACGGACTATAGGTATGGTCTTTCTCCATTTGCAAATAATTCTACTGGTGCCATTTCTCTCCCTTTTTTCACTATGTAAAAGTTACTGGACGAAATATTTATCAATAGTTCTTCATCCCCATCACTGAACGCAGATTCGAGAACTTCCATAGATTCCTTCAACAATCTCAAACCCAGGTGCTCTTCGTTTGCCATTTCCAAAGATTTATCATTATTTGAAAATACCTGATTCAAATCATCGTCACATTCTTGTTCCGAGTCAGTGTCATGCTCACTCACTTGATAAGGTTTAATTTTCCTCATCATCTCCACCAAAGATGTCATCGGCATTTTCTTCTAGCCAGCTCAATATATGCGTCTTTGCTGATGTACGTTCATTTTTTTTAAATTAAAAATGATAAAAATAATCTAATACAATGAAAACAAACACAAATCAAAATACGAAACAAATAGAAGAATAAAATTAAATTTCATTCATTATCAACGAAATTATAATATAAAAAACAAAAAAAAAAGAGTTTTATTACGAAAATTCCATAATAATAGGTTATAAAATTTTGCTTACGTGGTTCGTTGCGTAGGGTCTTTCAGAGCCCGCTCGCATGCAAACATTACCGTACAACATAGCGCTTGCGCGCGAACTAAAGTTAGCCGCGATGGGCGCCATATATAATTCAATTCAGGAAGGTACCTAAAAAGCAGAGTCACTACGATTATTTTAAATATATATTTTTATCGTTTTTGTAATACCTGGGCTTTGAATACCCACGCGACAACCCGAGGATTAATGGACTTCTTGATGAGTGAATGATCATTGTCACCCTCATTTTGAGTGTGGCTACTGATTAAATATTTATGCGTTATTGCTTTTACTGGAAGAGTCTCAACAGCATTGTACATTCCAAGTAGGAATCTAGAAAAAAATAAAAAGATTCACATAAAAATACATTCAAATTTGGCTGTATACTTAATAATAATATTAAACTTTCGTTTACTTACCTGTTTTTCTGCTGACTACAGCCATTCTCAGAGTAAAATATGACATTGCAATTAGGATAACGCTCAAATGTTTCTTTCAAAAAAATAAATACACAAGTCTATTTTTACTGCTCCTCCGTTGCCAAGTCCCTTATGCGAAAATAGCAATTTGTATTGTTGTTTTTAATATCTGAAATCTGTAAAAAGAATTTTAAGACATACATTTTATAATTGTATTTTAATTTATTTATTTATCCATGTAATTAAATGCGAGAAATACTTACCGTAAAATTCAAACAATTCAGTTTTGACTTGTAGAAAAAAGCTGAACCAATAGGGACAGGCATAAATAACTGTCTATAAATCCTATAAATCATATATTGCAAGAACAGTTTCACAATCCTATTTTCTTGATAACCCTGTCTTTGACTTCTTCTTTTCTACTTAAATCTTTTTCTCTTAGATACTTTTTATAAGGTTCTTCTAATGTGAGCTTATCTTCACCAATATCATTTTTGTATGATTGGCATAGGCAAATTGATCTTTTTTTTGGAATGAAAAATGAGATATTCAATTCAGTATTGAAAATCCGGAAATACGCGTCATAATTCGCATTTGCAAGGGTTCTCTGTTAGATTTTAATTTCCATGTAATTCTTTAATGCTAACTGAGTTTATGTGGTCACAAACGGACTGTAAAATTTGAGAACTTATTTGATTATCGTTAGCATGTTGTCACGCTAGTCCTCGGGAACCATCCCAGTACCACAAATGTTAGCTTGAATAACCGTTCGCAATGTTCTCTCTGATATCCCCAAAGTATTTTAAAAAAAGTCTTGAAAGTCTTTTTTTCTATCGCCATTAACCGTTAGATGAAAAACTCAGTTTTAATTCCTATTTCTAATATCTTTTACTCGACGGTAAGCAACTTTTAAAGTAGTTATGTAGGAGCTTATAAAATCGCGCTGTCTCTGTAATATTTACAAGCTCCAATAACATTCGAATATCTGTCGCCTTTGTTCCTCCGTAATATTAGTACTATATGTAAGCTTACATTTTTCCGTATAAGGTGGATTTATAGAATTTTCTGCAATAGTTTTACCAGTTCTAGATACCAATTTTTTCCTGAGTTTTTTATGCTTTTCTTACGTTAATCCATGCAGATTTATTTCGAAGCCTCTTTTTTCATTTCTTGGCCACAGTAATCTCTGGAGGTGGCGTTACTTGCCTGGTATTTGGTACATTGTTAGAATTATCAATAGTTGACGTCGATGACGAGCTTGAGGAAGAGCTAAAAGACGATGAGCTAGATGCTGAGCTGGATAACGTAGAATTATTATGACGACGTTTAACAGTTTTTTTATGGCTTATGTTCGTCAGCAATATCATCTGCAGAAAAGTCTTAAATTCATTTGGCTATCACTGTCATTTTCGTTGTTTATATCAAGTATAGATGAGGATTCGGTCTTATCTAAAGGAGAAGAAACATTTTTTTCCGATTTTGTGGTTAAATGAAAAGAACAATTTAGGAATTATTGGATGTTACTAAGATAATATAAATCACCTACATTACAAATCTAACAAAGTTTTTGGAAAATCAAAGTTAAAATAAATACGTAGCAAAATGAAGTAGGTATAATTATGTTATATATTACGCTGATGACACCAAAATATTTATGAAAATTAAAAATGATATGGATTGTACTGGCCTACAAGCTGATCTTAACAGTCTAGAACAATATTATACTGATAATCGAATTGGAATAAATATAAATAAATGTTCTTTTATTTCCTTTATTCGCAAGAAACATCCAATCAATTTTGAATACTATATTAGTAGTATAAAACGCTTAATTTTTTTTCTAGGAGAGGGGGCAAACGAGCATGCGGCTCACGGTAAGTGACTACCGCCGCCCATGAACAACAATGGATTGTTCACACAACTGAGCGAATAATCGCGCATTCAACGCGTTACTTTGAATTCGGTTTACTTCTTTAATGACAAATTGAAAAGTTTCATGCAATCTACTTATCTACTCAGATTTTTGGCAACCTAATGTTGTCGATGGATAAAGAAGTGTAAGTTTAAATGGCTTACAAATCCACGGTAGCGCCCAACCAAGGCAGGTACTCCATCCGTTGCTACTGATATATTTCATATTTGATAAAGGTATCGCTTTTTGCTTAAAGTAATCGTTCAAAACAGTAAATATTGATTCGCCTTTAGTGTCAGCTGTCAAAGTTTTCGTGAAAAGTGGCTCTTCGTGTATTTCTTGATTCATAATAAAACAAACATACGAACGTTGACTAGTCCAGCTATTAAGAGAAATATGTCGCTTGCAAAAAAATACACAAGAACCCTTCAATTTCATTACTCATTTCATCAAACGCCTTTGAACTGCGTTGTTGCTTAAAGAAATTCTTTTAATGATATCAGTTTGTGTAATACAATTTTTAAAACTTTTTCAAAGGTTAGCAATATTAATTTTTTCTACTTTCAGAGACATAATCATTTCTGTTTAATATTTTGTCAGGCTGTCTTTTGTCGTATCTCAGCCATTTAATTTTAGACCACGATAAAGGGGGCTCTTTTTTATGGCATTCTTAGATGCTTCTTCTTTCCAGTCCATAAAGTCCCCATGATTGTATTCATTGACATTGTATGACGCAGGGGTTTTACTTGTTATCTTGCAAATTGTGATCCATTTAACCGGTGTATTTATAGTTATGTTTTATCTCAGTTGCAAAGTGCATAGAGTCTCCTTCTTGCTACGAGTGTCCAGTTCATGACAGGCACATGATTGATTGTCTCAACATGTGGAAATAATTTCACAGCATGTGAACATGCTGTGGCAAAAAAAAACTGATTTCTATTTTGCTCTCCATTGCTGTCATTTACGAAAAGAATTGTTTTTGGCTGATACTGTTTTCGATGTGTCTATAAACACAGGTAGCAATTTCTATTGACCCATGCTTTCCCTCAAATTCAGTCCAAATATTGCATACATCTAGATGTGTAATTAAGTCGTAAATTGTTAGGGTTTAGACAGCAAACTTCCTTATAAGATTACATGTCTTTCCTTTTGGACATTCAAGAACAGCTTGCATACCAAAATTAATAATAGTAGTATATTCCGGATTTTCTTTGGATATAGCTACAGCATCCCTTTTTATTTCACGGGCTCTGTCCTTTTTTTTAGAAAAAATTGTTTTAAATGATTATTATAATTCTCATTTCTCTCTTTTTCTTTTGTTCGTAAGGCTTTCGTATAGTTGATAAGTATTGCAAGTATCTTAACGTGGATTATGGAAACTCATGTAACTATATAATTTTTTTTGTAAACAGAAATACTTATGGGTTCTTTATTACATTCTCGACATGAATCAGTATACATTTTGTAAAGCATATATGACGATGGGAATGCTATCAAAAATCGTTAAAAGATCGACCACAATCCAGGGTATAACTTCGGGATTGACTTTTGTAGCCAAAATTCTTGGTAGCCATTTTTGAATTTGATTTTTATTTCCACGTTCGTTGTCAGTTCTATAAGTTGTTCCAGTCGGGGTGATACTGTTATGTTGACATTTGAAAAAGGATCTAATACCCAGTCTGGTATTTCCAATTTCAAAATGTCCTGGAATCTTTCAATGAAATCACTGTGGAGATTGTCTAAATGTTGATAGTAGACAACCACGTCGTTGTTGTTGCAAGATACTGATAAATTGGTAAAATTATGGAACTCACGTCTGCTGATATTCTTCTTGTGTAAGAGCAGCGTGGCTACGAAAGTAGCGACGACATGTTTTGTTTTTATTAAGTTCATGTCATCGCTTTGAAGTTGGAGATTCATATCATTAAGCAATTTATAAAGGTCTGTCAGATATGCGATATCATTCTTGGATGTGATGAGATTGTCGCGCAATTCTGTGTCTTTGTTTTCCAAGAACTACGTGACTGTCAAACAGATTCTAAAATCGAGTCAGACAATTTCCTTTTGGGTTGAAATATTCATCATTAGTAACACAAAGCTAATTAAATAATCTATCATTTAAAGAGTTGCTTTGGATTTTATTGACAGCTTTGATGACATGTTGCAATGATTGAAACAGTCGTTTACTTAAATTTGTAGCAACCAAATGTTGTCGATGTATAACGCAATGTACAGCAAGCACATCTGGAATTTTGTTTTTATGTACGCTGTGAAGTCTTTTGGCCACCCCGTCATAGCTGGAACACCATCTGTAGCAGCTGATATAATATGCAAGGGAATTCCTTTTTCATCACAAATTTTCATCACAAGACTTTTCCAGTGCTTTAAATATGATTTCTCCTTTTGTGTCTGTCTCTAA